CCCCCCCCCCCCCCCCCCCCCCCCCCCCCCATCCTCCCGCCCCTCTCCCCCCCCCTCCCCCTCCGTGTCCTCCCCTCTCACCCCCTCCCCTCCCCTGTGCCCCCCCTGCCCTCGCGCCCCCCCCGCGGGACCCCCCCCGTTGCCAGGCAGATTTGGGACACCCTCGCGCCCGGCCACGCCCCCTGCCCAGGCCTGGGGCGCTGCGTTGGGTGGGGGATTTTTTTAATCTTTAAACTAATGATTGACAGCAGCGCCGGCCAATAGAAAGGCGGGTTGCCTGCCCCGCGGCCAATCGGAGCGAAGAGGCATTAGTAGCACCGCCCCCGTAGTAAGCTGCGAGAGGGGAAAGGCGTGGTTTGTTTTTGATTGACGGCCATATCGACCAATCAGCGGCGCGCCCCCGTGGTGCGCGCCTCTCCCCTGCTGTGAGGGCGGAAAGAGGCGTGGCTTGAATACGATTGACGGGTGAGCTATCCAATAGGAGCGGGCGGGCGCCCAACGGGAGCCAATGAGAGCGCGGCCCGCGGGAAGGGGGCGGTGCGTGGGCGGTGCGGCGGGGGCGGGCGCGGCTCCCCCCGCCGGTTCCCCCGGGGCCGGGCCGCGCTGGCTCCTCCCGGGGCCGGCTGAGGTGATGGCGGCCCGGGGAGGGGCCCGGCCCCGCCGCCCTTATCCGCCCGCGCAGGCCGCGCTGGGGCCGCAGATAGGGGGGGCCGGCGGGAGGAAGCGGGGCGGAGGCTCCGGGGCCTGGCGGAGCCGGTTCTGCGGGCGGGCTTGCGGCCGGGCCGGGTGAGGGCCGAGACTCGCGGCACCGCCGGACGGGGCCGGGGCTCGGGGGGAGCGACCGGGACAGGGACCGGGACCGGGACAGCAGCCGGTACCGGGAACCGGGGATGAGATCCCGGGGCCGGGCCCCGTTGCGGAGCAGCTCCGGCCGGGACAGGGATGGGGCCCGGGGCAGATCCCGGTGCCGGTGCCGGTTCCCCCCGGGCCGGTTCCTCAGGCTGGATCGGAGCTGCCCGGTCCAGTCTGGCCGCTCCCGCCGGGATCATTCCCGCAGGGATTTGGGATCATTCCCATCGGGATTTAACCCCTGGGACCATCACAGTCAGCATCTGGGATCAGTCCTGCATGGATTTAACCCTGGGATCATTCCCGATGGGTTTGGGATCATTCCCGATGGGTTTGGGATCATTCCCAATGGGTTTGGGATCATTCCCGATGGGTTTGGGATCATTCCTGCAGGGATTTGGGATCATTCCTGATGGAATTTGGGATCATTCCTGCAGGGATTTAACCCTGGGATCATTCCCGATGGAATTTGGGATCATTCCCGATGGAATTTGGGATCATTCCCACAGGGATTTGGGATCAGTCCTGTTGGAATTTGGGATCATTCCCGTTGGAATTTGGGATCATTCCCACCGGGATTTCAATCCCGCACGTTCGGATTTCCCTTTTTTCCCAGGATTTAGGTGTTCAATTCATTCCGGTTTCTTGGAATTTTAAATTCAAGCTGCCGGAAAATTTGGGAATAAAAGGCAAAAGGAGGAATTTTCCATGGAAATTAAAAGGAATCAAATCCATGAAAAATCCTTCTGGCCTGGGAATTAAACTCCGGAGTTATCCCGGATTTCCGGCAGCTCCAAGCGGGAAATCCGGGAAAAATGGAAGGAATTCTGGTGTAGAAGAAGTAAAATTCCGCTTTTATTTCAAAATCCTTCTAATATAGAAAATCCAGAGGGGCCTCGGGATAATCCCGGATCCGGCTCCTTCCAGGGATCCCCGGATTTCCAGCAGGGCCCACAAACACCGGGAAAAGGTCGGGAATTCCTGGGAGAACGGGCAGGATTTATCCCGGATTTCTACCCAATTCCTGCCGGGAATGGGAGTGGGGAATGCAAGAATTCCCGGAATTCCTGCCGGGATCAGCGCAGGGAATTCCCGGCTCTTCCTCAGCTGAGTTTTGCTGAGCGAGATGGAGAAAATTGGGAATTTGGGAGGAGTTTTTTGGGATTTTTTTTGGAATTTTTAGGGGAATTTTGGGAGATTTTTTTGGGAATTTTGGGAGATTTTTCTGGGAATTTTGGGGGATTTTTCTGGGAATTTTGGGAGATTTTTTTGGGAATTTTGGGAGATTTTTCTGGGAATTTTGGGGGATTTTTAGGGCATTTATTTTGGAATTTTAGGGGATTTTTGGGAAACTTTTTTTTAATTTGGGGGGATTTTTTTGAATCTTTGGGGAATTTTGGGGGGGAATTTTTAGGGGAGTTTTTTGGGAATTTTGGGGGGATTTTTTTGGGAATTTTTGAGAGACTTTTTTTGAATCTTTGGGGATTTTTTAGGAATTTTGGGGGATTTTCAGGGCATTTATTTTGGATTTTTGGGTGGACTTTTTTAATTTGGGGGGGATTTTTTTTTAATCTTTTGGGAATTTTGGGGGGAATTTTTCGGGAATTTGTGGGGGAAGTTTTAGGGGATTTTTTTGGGAATTTGGGGGATTTTTTGGAGAATTTTTAGGGAGACTTTTTTTTGAATCTTTGGGGATTTTTTAGGAATTTTTGGGGATATTTTAGGGGATTTTTTTGGGGAATTCTCCACAATTCCCAATTCCCAGCATGCCTGGAAGATTCCCGCTGTCGGGATCCAGAGGGAAATCCCATTTTTTTTACACTATCAACCCCAGGGACTGAATTTTTCGGGAGAAATCCTGGCTATTCCATGAAAAATCCTGGAAAAATCTCTACAATTCCCTCCACAATTTCTAATTTTAAGGATCTTGCCGTCGTTTCTCCAGAGAATTCCATGATTTGAGGAGGAAAAAACTCCAATTCCATCCTGGATTTTCCCATTTTTCCTCCAAAATTCCAAGGAATTGCAATTCCTTTCCCAGCTCCATGAAAAAAAAACAAGGAAAAAAAAAAAAAAGAAGGAAAAGCTCCCCAAAAAAAAAAAGCTATTAAATAATTTAATATACAATGGTAAAAAGCTCTGTACATCGGCCCCGGGAAGTTCCACCGGGAATTTCCGCCGGGAATTCGGGAATTCCGGCAGCGGGAAGAGCCCTCGGGAGCCGGGCCCCGGCTCAGGGATCCCACACGGAATTCCAAAGGGATTTTTTCCGGATCTTTCAGCGATTTGATGGATTTTTATGGGAGACCCGAGGTAGAAAATTGGGAATTTTCGGGAATTCTGCTCCTTCCTCGGTGTCTCCCGGGGGGTTGGGAAAGGCTCTTTTCCCACAGGAACTGCTGGAGAATTCCCTGGAAAAGTCCCTGGGGAATTCCCGAGCGCAGCTCTCCGGGATTGGGATTTTTCCCAATTTTTCCTGATTTTTTTTTTTTTCCGGGTTTTTCCCAATTTTTTCGGGATTTGGCTGCCCTGGAAGCGGCCAAATCCAGGTGGGAGCAGCCTGGAATAGTGGAAGTGTCCCTGCCCTGGGATTGGGATCATCCTGAGGCTTTCCCAGGATAAAATTCGGGAATTTCATCCCAATCATTTCAAGCCAGAGCTGAGTTGGGCCTGAAATTCCAGAATATTCCAGAATATTCTGGAGTTAGAAGGGGAAAATTTGGATTTCCTGGATGAGATTTGGGAATTTCAGCCGTTCCCAAGCCAGGAAAATTCCAAGGGAAAAAAAAAAAAAAAATTCCAAGGAATTTGTCGCACCCCAGGGGCTTCCAGAGGAAATAAAAACCGGGAATTCGCTTCCCAAAAAACTCAAAAACTGGGAAAACTCCCCCGGTTCTCCATGGGGATCAACATTCCTGGACAAAATCCCAAAAAAGAAACGGGATCCCAGCGAATCCAGCCCTGGATTCGGGCTGGAAAATCCCCGGATTTGGGAATTCTTTGGGATTTTTTTCCCGGTTTTTTGGAGTTCCAACGGCACCGAGGGTTTTCCTGAATCCGAAAAAATTCCGCAATAAAAATTCCTGATCCTCGCTCCCCAAAATTCCAGGGATTTCCTGGTCCTTGGGAGTTCTCCAGGAGATTTAGGACCGGGATTTCCATGGAAAAAAAAAAAAACCTGGAAAATCCACGGAAAATGGGACCAAAAATTTCATCCCTGGAATGAATCCCGGAGGGAAAAATTCAGGAATTTGGGTGGGAAAAAATTCCTTGCTCTGGAAAACGATTTGGGATTTGGGAAGGGAAAATGATGGGAATTTTATGGGAATTTTAAGGTTTGTTCCCATCCAGGTGGGATTTAAAAATTCCCAAAAATCCCTGGAATTTCCAGGGGTTTGGTTTTCTTCCTCTCTCCAAGAATTCCAGAGTTGTTTTCCCAGAAATCTGGGGAAATTCCAACTGGGAAAAACAACTCCATTCCACCCCGGGCACTGCCGGAATCCCGGGGAAAACTTCCAGCTTTTTTTGTGGGATTCAGCATTCCCAGATTTCTGGGAGAACTCGGTGGAAAAATCCAAAACAAAACCTGGGAATTTAACCAAAAAAACTGGGAATTTAACAAAACAACAACAAAAAAAAAAACCTGGGAATTCAAAAAAACAGGGAATTTAACCCGGAAAAAACCTGGAAAAGGGAATTTTGTGCCGAGGGCAAAGGCCGGAATTTCATCCCAAGCCTCCGGCTCCGGCTGGATCCGGATTTCCTCCGGAATTTGGGAATCCTTAAGGCACGGGCGCCTTCGAGGCTGGAAAAATCTGGGATCAGCAGGAAAATTCCTGATTTTTCCCAAATGCCAAAGGCTGGGGAGAGCTGGGCCCGGGGAAATCCCGGGATCCCCAAAGAACGGGAATTTCCCTCGGGGAATTCCAGCCGGGAATCCGAATCCCCGATTTCCTCATCCCCCGGCATTCGGAGCTTCCCGCCGGAATTCCCAGCTTTTCCTGGGAATTGCCACCAGGATCAAACCTTGGGATTCACCTGGATATTCCCACCTGGAAAAGCAGCTCCGGAGGCTCTGGAAATTCCTGGAAAATTCCTGCTTTTCTCTCACTACCAGAGGGAATTCCGAAGTTTTTCCATGGAGATTATTTTTTTGTTTGTTTGTTTCTTTTCCCGAGTTTTTGGCGCTTTTGTTTTGTTTTTTCCTCTTCCCGGGATGATGTTGGTGGAGATCCCGGAGTTTTCCCGGACTTTTCCTGGAGTTTTCCATGAATTTTCCGGGAGTTTTTCCGGGAATTCACAGCAGACTGGCCAGGCTGGTGGTGGGGCCGTTCTGGGCCTGGAATTGGACTGGGGGGGGTCCATCCGTCCACTGTGGGGGAAAAACGGGATCAGGATCCCGGAAAACATTCCCAAAAAATTCCCTCGGGATCGTGGAATTCCCAGCAAAACCCTCCCTGCTCCCAGGGATCCCAAATTCCAACCCCACGTCCCACCGGGATTTGGATTTCCAGGGTTGTTGGTTTTTTTTTTTTTTTTTGGGAATTTCAAAAACGAAATTCCCTCGGGAAAACTCAATTTTGGGACTGGAAAATTCAATTTGGGGTGGGAAAATCCCATTTTGGGATAGGAAAATTCCATTTTTAGGCAGGAAAATCCCATTTTGGGATAGGAAAATTCCATTTTGGGATAGGAAAATTCCATTTTGGGATAGGAAAATCCCATTTTTGGGCAGGAAAATCCCATTTTTAGGCAGGAAAATCCCATTTTTGGGTGGAAAAATCCCATTTTTGGGTGGAAAAATCCCATTTTTGGGCAGGAAAAATTCAGTTCTTGGGCAGAAAAATCCCATTTTGGGGAGGGAAAATCCCATTTTTGGGTGGAAAATCCCATTTTGGGACAAGAAAATTCCATTTTTGGGACAGGAAAATTCCATTTTGAGGCAGGAAAATCCAATTCTGGGAAGGGAAACTTCCACTTTGGGACAGAAAATCCCAATTTTAGGCAGGAAAATCCCATTTTTGGGCGGGAAAATCCCATTTTTAGGCAGGAAAAATCCCATTTTTGGGCGGAAAAATCCCATTTTTGGGCGGAAAAATCCCATTTTAGGCAAGAAAATCCCATTTTTAGGCAAGAAAATCCCATTTTTGGGCGGAAAAATCCCATTTTTAGGCAGAAAAACCCCATTTTTAGGCAGAAAAACCCCATTTTTGGGCAGCCAGAAACCCCCAGGAAAGGCAACAGCCGCCCCCAGCAATGCGGGAATTGCGGGAATTGCGGGAATTGCGGCGGTACCGTGATGAGGTTGTGCTCGGGGAGGCTGCAGGCCTCGATGTGATCCTGCAGCAGCTGCTGAGAGAAGTTCTGGTGCATCTGCGCCGCCTCGTGCGCGTCCATGGCGTTCCCACACGCCTTGTTCAGGTCTGGAAAAACGGGAAAATCCCGGGATTGGGATCCCATCCCCATTCCCAACGGCCCCAAAATCCCTGGAATTCCTCCCCCCCCCACCAGGGGTTGGTGCTGCGGAGGGATCGGCCCTGAAAATCCACCCCAGGGTTCCTGGTGGGGAGGGAATGAGATCCCCAAAATTCCCAAAATTCTCTGGGATTGACGGGAATGAGATCCCCAAATTCCCAAAATTCTCTGGGATTGGAGGGAAAGAAATTCCCAAAATTCTCTGGGATTGACAGGAATGAAATCCCCAAAATTCTCTGGGATTGACAGGAATGAAATTCCCAAGGATTCTTTAGGATTGGAGAGAATGAAATCCCCAAATTCCCAAAATTCTTTGGGATTGACAGGAATGAAATTCCCAAGGATTCTTTGGGATTGACAGGAATGAAATTCCCAAAATTCCCAAGGATTCCCTGGGATGCAAAGGAACAAAATCCCAAGATTCCTAAAGATTCCTTGGGATCATAGGGAAAGAGATTTTTACGGATGATCCCTGATCCTGAGTTCCCCCTGGAGCTG